CTCTTCACTACATAGATCTGTACTAGTATGTATGGAGGAGTGATTGTGTGCGTGTTTACAGGTTTCTCCTCCATCACCAAAGACAGTAAAATCTATTGAGATCACCTGCATTGTTAGATATTATTTGTGTATTGCAGTCTATTATTAAACATTAAAACATCCATCCATTTTCCAATCTGCTTTATCCTCTGCAGGTTTGGCTGGAGTCTATCTCTGTGTCTTGAATGGACGGCCAGGCCATCACAGGGCTCACAAACATTCACACCTACGGTTAATGTATAGTGTCTAATTCCCCTCTGCTGCATGTCTTTGATTGTGGGGGAAACTCAGAGGAGACCAACACAGACACGAGGAGAACATGCAAGAAAGGCCTCCTGACTCTGGGACTCAAAGCGGGGACCTTTTTGCTGTGACGCAACAGCGCTACCCACTGAGCCACCCTGCCGCCCCATGTAGTAACATATTCATTGTATTTGATTATATTTATTATAATCATAAGTGGATGCAGCTTTATTGGGACCCTACTTGTGGCTCTCCCTAAAGCGCACTCCTACACCTACTCCTCACCCTAACCATGATTAACCTGCGAAGCTCCATGAAGAGCCACGGTTTTGAGAATGTAAAAATATGAGCTGCACATGTCTGATCTGCCAGCCTGCCTGATCAATTAGAAGACCTATTAAATACCCATTAGGCACTTTAATCCCACTATTAAATCCCCATTTTTCAAATATTTAATTTTTGTTCAAAATAAACATCTCCGAGCTCTAATGTAATGGAAAAGAGGGAGAAGGAAGGGATCAGGAAAATGCAGATTTCTACTCTGGTTGGTGTCAGAAGCTAAGCCCACTGCCCTTACTCTCCCACTTACAGTATGTGACTGGTTTCTTTTGTAATTTTGTCTGATGGACTATGTGCACTACGTGTAAACAATCAATTTAAAAGGTTTTTGCTATTGAAAAAAAAGGGTTAAAATGAACACAGAAATCCACACATGTACAAAAAACAAAGCTGGTCACAATTTTTAACTTTCTGTACATCTTGATTGACAGATGTCTCGTCCAATCAGTGATAAGTATTCAATTTGCAAACAATACCTAGCTTTTCTGTTTTGTCTAATTTGTCATTGTGTTTTCTGACTGACTTAGATTTGCCATTGTCTTTATAATTTGTTGTTTTGTTTTTGTATTTGTAATTTTGTTTTCAAACTAATTTATTTTGCACGTCACATACAGTATACTTTACAGTGTGTCAAATATGATCTTACCTCAGTTTCTCCAGTTTACAGTGAGGATCCTGTAGCACATCAGAAAGCAGCTTCACTGAATCTCCTAGTTTATTCTCAGACAGATTCAGTTCTCTCAGGTGTGAGGGGTTTGATCTCAGAGCTGAAGCCAGAGCAGCACAACCTTCATCTGTGACGCCACAATATCTCAACCTGTAGAGAACAATGACACACTCTTCACTCTCTCAGATCAGATCAGTTTAGCTGTGAATCCATTATTAAAGATAAAGAACAAACTTAAAGTGTTAGTTCAGCCAAAAATGAAAACTCTGTCGTTAATTACTCTCCCTCATGTCGTTCCACACCTGTAAGTCCTTCATTCATCTTTGGATCGAAAATGAAGATATTTTTGATTAAATCTGAGAGCACCACTTTATTTAAGAAAATATTGACCTGCAACCCAGTAGGGGGCGCACCACGGCATATGCGTGTTGTGTTGACTCAACAGTGAAAGAGATTCTGTGAAAAAAATATTTTCCCAAAAGAATATCCAGCGCATTCACAGAAGCACTTTCACTGCTTAATATTTTAGTAAATAAAGTAAAATAATAGTTATTTTAGTAAATAAAGTTTAGTAAAAAAGGCACTCGTGACGCTTCATAAAATTGAGGTTAAACCACTGGAGTCACATGGAGAACTTTAATGATGTTTTTCTACCGTTCTGGATCTTGAATGTGGTAGTTGCGTTTCTCTCAATGGGGGGGGGATGCTCCCGGATTTAAATCAAAAATATCTTTATTTGTGATCCAAAGATGAACGAAGGACTTACAGGTGTGGAACGACATGAGGGAGAGTAATTAACAACAGAGTTTTCATTTTTGGGAGAACTTACACTTTAAAGCACAAATCAATATGTTTGATGGACCACTGGACTGAGATCTAAGACGAAGAACACAAAACATGACCATAAAACATCCAAAGTCTCATTCAAGCAGGATACATTTTATTTCTTATATGCACTATATCTGTATTTTATGCAAAATGTCTGTCTTATGCAAACTGATTGATGACACTATTGACTACATAGCATGTGTGAGAGTCAAATATGATCTTACCTCAGTTTCTCCAGTTTACAGTGAGCATCCTGTAGTACATCAGAAAGCAGCTTCACTGAATCTAGTTTATTCCCAGACAGATGCAGTTCTCTCAGGTGTGAGGGGTTTGATCTCAGAGCTGAAGCCAGAGCAGCACAACCTTCATCTGTGACGCCACAATATCTCAACCTGTAGAGAACAATGACACACTCTTCACTCTCTCAGATCAGATCAGTTTAGCTGTGAATCCATTATTAAAGATAAAGAACAAACTTAAAGCACAATTCAATATGTTTGATGGATCAATGGACTGAGATCTAAAATGTCACAGAACACAAAAAATTATCATAAAACATCTAAATTTAACAAACAGTATTTAAAGACCCCTGTGGTGAAAATCAAGTTAACGTTGTTTACAGGTTTATCTGGTGTTTTAAATATGCTTAAAGACAAACCATGTGACAAACTCAGTCAACACCACTGATGAGTATTTTCTCCTTAAAACTGCAGCGCGCCAAAGACAGAAATATGGTTTGAAACTGTTTCCATGTAATCAATCACTGGTTTCAGATTTGTGAATAAGTTGTGTACTCTGCTTTAAAAGTGAGCAGAAATGTGCTTTTGTGACTTTAATTGAAGAATATGTAATACATGGGTGACATTTCAGTCACATTCTCATGTTCACCACATGATGGCACATGATGAAACGAGAGCATTTGGTGTTTTTGTGTCAATTATGACAAAACACATAAAAACAGTACAGTTATTCTTGTATATTTCGTATATATATATATATATATA